TCCTCCTTTCTCTCTCTCTGCCTGCCTCTCTGCCTACTTGTGATCTCTGTCAAATAAATAAAATAAAATCTTTAAAAAAAGTTATAAGATTTACTAGATTCTGTGATATTTTTTCAGGTACAATGTACATGTACTCAGATCAAAATGTGCAAGTACAGTGTAAAATTTCACCTATATTAGATACATCTGTGAAGGTTCATTAATTCGACAAAGATTTAGAACTGTATAAATAGGAAAGTCTTATTCCCTGTACTTAAAAGGTTTTCATTTTCATCAAGCAAAATATACTCTTAGTGATACATAATTTAATTAGTTCAACTTTACAAGTATGCTTAAAGTGCTACAGGAGCACACAGGACTAAATTGATCAACTTTAGTTAAAGAGAACTAGAGAAGGACAACTCAGCAACTTTCATGGAGAAGGCAGGTGTGGGAAACAGGGAACAAAACATGCAACATGTCATGTTCAAGAAGAGTTTACATTTATGGTGGTGAAACAAAAGATAATCAAGTTATATAAATCCGTTGTGCTACAAGGAAATAAATGTTACTAAAAAGATCACAGTGGATAAGAAGTAGGGGGGTTACATCTATAAATAGAGTGATAAGAGATAACCTCACAGAAAAATGTGTATTTGAGGAAAAAACTGAAGGAATTTATTGTAAGAGAAATGCAGATATTTAGGAGATGCAAGGTTGCATAAGTGAAAGGGGTAACTATGAAATAAAGCCAAATGGGTCAAATTGACAAACCAAGAATTTCAGGGGATGAGAACTGGTAAACCATTTGTGTCAATAACTTTTCCTTAGGCTAATCTATCTTTGCTTTTTCTGATAAATACTTGTGCTACTTATTCTTCAATATTCTTGAAAATTCCTCCCTTTGCATTTGGTGATAAATCAATATAGGCAGTTGATATTTGGGGTTAGACTTCTTTGTTCTTCCATTTTCTCTGTGTTGCTTATACAGGGAGATCCTCTAAGGTACAGGCATTCTTTTCCTCTCTTGATTCTCCCAAAAATCAATTGGGAATAGGGCTACCATATTCTGTACTTCAATGAAGTATCAATAGATAGAACTCCTTGAGAAAAAAGCATCTGACCTGTGATGATGTGCCTTTGTAAAGAAACAAGGCAAGGAAGAGAGTAGCCAACTCATACCATGCTAAAAAAGCACCTAAGCTAAATTACTTTGGGTTATGACAAAGAGTAGCTCACGTCATGCTGGAAAAGCACCCCAACTGAAAGAAATAGATGCTACTTTTCCTTATAGGGTATAACAATACATTTTAATTAAATATGTAGAATCAATGTGAATAGGATTTCAGAAGAATAAGCCATTGCTACATGTAAAATAATATCCTTCACTGAGAGTTCAATTAAAAGAAATAACTTTGGGGGCACCTGGGTGGCTCAGTGGGTTAAAGTCTCTGCCTTCAGCTCAGGTCACGGTCCCAGGGTTCTGGGATCAAGCCCTGCATCGGGCTCCCTGCTCAGGAGAGAGCCTGCTTCCCTTCCTCTCTCTGCCTTCCTTTCTGCCTACTTGTGATCTCTGTCTGTCAAATAAATAAACAAAATCTTAAAAAAAAAAAAAAAGAAATAACTTTGGCTATAAAGAATTAGACAAAAACTAAATTTCTAAAGAATTTAGACAAGGAGCACTCATCTTGCAACATTCCATACTTCCAATGAAAAGATAAATTTGATAAAAATTGTTGACCATTAAATAGATTTGTACAAAATCTTAGCCATTAATTCCTATAGTGCCTAACTCTGTGTAGGGGAGCAAACCTGTCATCCCAAAATCTGGCATATAATTATTCTAAAAAACAAAAGACACAAGAGAAACTCTGAAAATCAAGTAGAAATTACCCTTTTAGAAGAGACGTACACATAAGAGGGAAATCTCCATTTGTAAGGGTGCCTCTCTCAGTACATTGAGAAGAGAAGGATGATAAATCTCTAGAAACTATTGTCAGTGGAGAAGGCATGCACTTAAATCTACATAACAACCATATCCTTGTTTACTGGTAACCTCTCAAAACTGGCTTCTCATTCCCAAGATCTTTTGTCTTCAGCAGGAGATGGTGTTTAAGGTAATGAATTCAGCCACTTCAGAGACTTAACTGTTTTTCTGGGTCTCAACATGTATATCAGAAGTATACATGCTATTAATTTTTTTTCTCCTGTTAATTTATCTCATGTCAATTTGATTCTTACACCAGCTAGAAAAATTTTGAAGGGTGGAGGAAATCTTGGAAGACAATTTTTTTTTTTTTTTTTTACAAAACTAAACATACTCTTGCTATATGACCCAGCAATCACACTCCTTGACATTTGCCTAAACCAATAGCAACAACAAAACCTCATTGGCTAACCTACAATGTAAACCTAAACTACTATGCTAACTTACTATGTAAATTACTAATCTTAACGTACTATCTTAAGATGGCCTAGACTTTTCCCAATATTCTTATTAAAATGTAAAGTGACACCTGTCAACAAACACAGAATCTCTCCCTTTAAATTTACATGTGACAGACTGTGAATTGGGGTCTGACACCACATCCTGTGCCTAATTTAATGGAATCATTTCATAATCATGCTCTATACTTTAAAATGGTTTATTCCTCAGAAACCCCAAGACATAAAGTCATAACGACCTAGCAGGATGCATGAAAATAATTTTGCCATTCCTACTGACCAGGAGATTTGAAGACATGAAAGTGTTCTGCAATAAAGATAATATGGGCTGTCACCCCAATAAGAAAGACCTTTTTAAGGGCTGATAATCACCCAGGTGATGTCTAAATGGGATGTCTCTTGATTGGATGGAGGCCCTCAAATGTGGGGCAATGATTGGGTGGAAATTGACAACAGGGGCAGTGAAAAAATTCACCTGGGGCAGAACAAAGGAGATAGAAGTCTATTGAATATACCACTAGGGACCCCAGCAGGGACAGGACACAGAGAAGAGGCTGACTGCAAGGAGGCAGTGAGTGGGTCTGTTTTTAAAGGGGGAAGATGAGGAGGTATGCCAACATATGGAATTTTCCCTTTTTGCAGAACTGTGCCTAGTAAGTAGCCCATTGATTAGTTAGGACCTATAGATATTTTGAGGTTGGTAGCCTGATGGACCTGTCTGTATTCCACCAGGTGGTCACGGTGGCCCTTTCTGCACTCCATTGCTCAAGCCTGTTTGCCTAAAAGCAGCCTGTACAACCCATATGGCTTTTTTCTTTTCTTTCTTTCTTTTTTTTTTTTTTTTTAATTTTTAAAAAATTTTGGATGATCAGTCCTCAAAGGAAACAACAAACCAAAACAAAAAAGCAGCTAGATTAATGCTATCATAAGAAGTTAGTTCCTCAGGAAGACTGGACTATGATTCCACAAAAAACTTAGAAACTTAAGTTTTCTAAAGTAACTGATACTGGTACTGAACTTAACTGAAAGGAGGTATCCTAACAAATTTCTTCCTATTCTTATACAGTATCTTGCTCTCTTATTCAGTGTTATTTCAATTACATAAAGACTCACATTTTACTAGAAAACAGATTTACTAGAAAACAAATGTCATTTGTTAGTGAGGTCAAGTTCAGAAAAGTTACCCCTGGAATGTGGATTATTTTGAGTTGAAAGCAATCAAGTTCTAAACAGAATCACTAAGAATTTTTTTTTTTTTTTTTTAAGCAGCTGTCTCAAAAAAAAAAAAAAAAAAAATTAGATAGGGGGCCTGTATCAGGAAGTGAGCTATTACCAGAGATAACCTTTTAAATCAGACTTATCTGCATGGCTTGGCAAACATTTATTTATCAAACATTTGCTTTTCCTGTCTTCCTGTAAATTCTTTTCTTCCCCTTTGAAGTCTCAGAGCCCTACTCCCTCCTCCTTAGCTCGGGGTACCATATAAGCCTCAATTGTCCATTAGTGTTTCTCCTGTTCATCTCCCTTTTATTAACATTTATTAACATTTTAAAATTCAAGCAATAAATGCATCAAACAATTTGTAAAGTTAATGTATGGCCAAGAAAAATCTTTATGGATTGCTATTCTAGAATCTAATTGAATAGTTCACCATTGGTATTGAGAAAGGGACAGGTTGGGGCTAGGTAGGGAGAGACAGACAAGGTGCTTATGTTTAGGCTCACAGAAATTCCAAAAATGTAGAGGTATAAGGAAACCAGAGATAAGCGAACACTCCAGAACACCCAGTGCATCCCATCACTCAATCGTGTTTGCTTAAAAGCAGCCTCAACAACCCTATATAACTTTTTTTTTTTTTTTTTGGTCCTAGGTGACCAAGGAGGAAGTCTTCATAATAGTCTCCTGTGGTCAACAGAAAATAAACAGGCCCTAAAAAGTAATAAGCCATTAAAGTTGTTATCTCTAGTCCTGCTTACCCAAGTGGCTTTCAATAGAGAAGTCAAAAAGATTTAAGTTCCTTGGTTAGCTTTCTATAAAAGACCAACCCTAAGAGCCCTCAGCGACAACATTTTGGGATCCCTCTCACTCCTGAGAGTTTTTTTCTGTCTCCTTGCTTAAACTGTGTGTCTCAGTTGTTAAGCATCTGCCTTCGGGTGAGGTCATGATCCCAGAAGCCTGGGATCAAGTCCTACATTGGGTTCCCTGCTCAGCGGGAAGCCTGCTTCTCCCTCTCTCACCACCCCTTCTTCTGTTCCCTTGAGAACAGACAGAGACTCCCAGGCCCAACCCCTTCCTGTCCGCTGCCGCTCTCCATTGCTCCTGCTGAGGCAGAAGAAAAGACCAAATGGCCATCCCATTTGGTTAAGATTAGAAAACAAGTTATTGCTCCTGCTAAGGTGGAAGAAAAGACCAAATCGGCATCCTTTTTGGTTAAGAAGTTCCCCTGGTTGATTTAGCACTCTCCTGAGATGCCTCCATATAGATTATACTTCCACATAAAGGGGGCCAATCTGCCCTGAGAGACTGCAAAAACGTCCCGTTACCATCCCCCATCACCTGTAACCATAAAAACTCACCCCTAACCCTGTTGGGTACTCGGTCTTTGGGAAGGATCCTGCTGAGCCCGCTGGGGAAAATAAAGCTGTGTTCTCCTTTATTTCTGTGTGCCACTTGAGCTTCTTTGGTTGCTTCAGATTTTCCACATTTGGTTTTCCTGACCCAACATTTGGGTTTCCTGATGGGGAAACCCAACTGCGCTGGCCCATTGTGCCACTGGTGTGGGAATGGAGATGGCCCATGGCGGGCAACAGAGTACCTACCCTAGGGTTTAGGTGCGCCCTGCTGATTTTGGTGGACCCAAAGCTAGGTTCTTCTGGACAGCCATGGCTTACCTCCAACCTACTGGACCAAAAATAGGAGACCGAGGACAACTGGCAGGATCCACCTGTTGGACCATGTAAGCCCCAGGGCGACTGCCCAAGTCAGACTCATCCATTGGGGATGAAAGGGGAGTCTGATCACTTCCCATTAGTCAGAGATACCCAGAGGGGGATGTCCAACCTGTCTGAATGTGAAGAGTGCCTGACTGTGTGAATCTGTCTGTATGGGTCCACCTCTTCAGCTATGGAGTCTGAGTGGGCTGCACCCTGAGTCTCATGGAGCATCATATGGCATAACAGTCATCTACTCCTCTGAGTAGCCTGGTCTGAAGCATATACAGATAGACCTTAGCTAAGATGCTCCTAAGTTCCCATGACAGATGAGAGCAAGACAGCACCTGAAAGAATCCCCTTCCTTTGTCTACGACATCATTCACAATGGGAGGGAAACCCAATAAACCCACTATCTTAGAGCATGCTTAAAAGCTTTTAAAAGGGCTTCAGCAGTGACTACAGTGTTCATATGACCCCGGGAAAACTCAGGATCTTCTGCAAGCTAGAATGGCCTAGTTTGATGTTGGGTGGCCCTCAGAAGGAACCTTAGGTTTGCCCACCATCCGACATGTTTATCAGGTGGTCATGGGAAACCCAGGGCACCCACATTGGTTTCCATATATTGACTCCTGGTTAGAAATAGCTAGAACACTTCCCCATGGGTATGGTTCTGCATTTATAGTAAGGGACAGTACAGGATCCTTGTTGCTCAACCAACCAGAAATACTCAGAATAAAGGCATACATCAGGGGGACCCAGAGGAAGAGCTCTCACAACCATATGTTCCTTTGCCCCCCCACTGCTCCTGAAGTGGGGCCTGTCACCCCATCACACTCGGTCTCTCTGTTGCTTCCAGCTCCATTCCTGCCTCCCCCCGTTCCAGCACCAACTGCAGGCTCTTTGGCACCTCTGATTCCACCAACGGCCACAGTCTCCCCACCACCTCCAGTTCGCCAATCATCAATGGTCTCACTACCAACCTCCATACCACCCCCAACAACTTGTGATGGGGACTCTTCCCCAGAATCCGAACCCCAAAACACCATGCATTGTCTCTGAACACGGGAGATCCCAGCTTACCAAATGCCCCTCCATGAGATTTGAGGTACCAATACAATTGGTGTAGATGGCACCCCCCAACCGGGTCGGCCCATTATCTATTATCAGTCTTTCACCACTACCAACGTCCTAAACTGGAAACATCATACTCCCACTTATTCAGAGCAACCACAGGCGATGATTGACATCATGGAATCCATCTTCCAAACCTACCGACCAACATAGGAAGATTGTCAACAGCTCTTTCACACCTTGTTCAACACCAAGGAGAGAAGAATCCTTCAGAAGGCTTGTAAGTGGCTCAAGGAGGTGGCTCCAGCAGGTGTTATGAATACCAAGGGATGGGCTCAGGAGTCTGCACCAGGCAATTGGCCCCACTGAGAATTCAACATAGAAGAAGGCCATAATGCTATCAAGTGCTACCAGGAAGCCATTGTGCGAGGTCTCCGACAAGGTGCCAAGAAACCTACCAACTTGTCAAAGACAGCTGATGTGACTCAAGATGGGGAAGAAACTCCTGGTAATTACTACGAGTGGCTTTGTGAGGTTTTCTGCATATACACTCCATTTGATCCAGAAGCACCCGAGAACCAACGGATGGTAAATGCAGACTTCGTGGCACAGTCAGCTCCTGAGATCCATCAGCTCCAAAACTTGATATCCTGATATGCTCAAATCTGTCACCTCCAAAAATCTGAGGGTTTTGCTGGGATGAACATCACTCAGCTACTAGAAATAGCCAACAAGGTCTATTGAAACCGAGAGACTAGAGCAAAATATGAGATTGAAAAGAAGATGAAACAAAAAGTTGCCCTGCTGGCTGGGACTTCCAAAAAACTCTCAGTTACGAGGACCATCAGAACAGTTAAGAGAACAGCCTCAACAATGCAGAACCTTCAAAAAGGACCAATGCTTATACTGCAAGGAAATGGGGTACTGGAAGAATGAATGCCCAAATCAAAGGCCAAAACATTCAAATCCTCCACCCGACCTAAAACCCAGGCAGACAGGGATCCAGACTTTATCAGACCAGCCAACATAGACTTGGACTGAGTGGAACCAGGCTTATTAATGTTAGGCCCTGGGGAGCCCATGGTTGATGTAAAGGTGGGGGGCCAGAAGATCACTTTCATGGTGGACACCGGGGCAGAACACTCAGTAGTAAGTACACCAGTGGCACCCCTTACAGGATGAACCATAACCATCATGGGTGCCACTGGCGATCAAGCCACAAGCCAACTTTTTTGCCAATCCTGAACTTGTAAGCTAGGCGGACACATTGTGTCCCATGAATTTCTATATGTTCCAGACTGCCCACTCCCTTTACTGGGAAGAGATTTGCTTTCAAAATTAGGGCACAAATCTCCTTTGAATCTTCTGGACAGATCATTATGAGTCTAAACCCCACCAGACCTCAACTCATCTTGTCCCTCAACACACCCTAGGACAAAGAATAGAGACTGTTTGAACAAGAACACCCTGAAACAAATCCAGAGGCCTACCGGACTGCAATCCCTGATGTATGGGTGAAAGATAACCCTCCCTGACTTGCCATCTGGCAAGTTCCAGTCATTATAGAACTAAAGGCTGGAACACAGCCACAATGGCAAGGGCAGTACCCTATCTCACGGGCAGCCCAAATAGGCATACACGCCCACCTAGAACAACTAAAAGAAACAGGCATTCTAGTCAAATGCGAATCTCCCTGGAACATTCCACTGCTCCCAGTCAAAAAGCCTGACGGTGACTACTGACCCGTCCAGGACTTGCGTGCCATAAACCGGGTTGCTCAGACTCTACATCTGGTGGTGCCAAACTCCTATACCTTCTTAAGCCAGATCCCACTGGTTGCTGCCTGGTTTACCTGCCTTGATCTAAAGGACACCTTTTTCTGTATTCACCTAGCCCCCATAAGTCTACCTCTCTTTGCCTTTGAGTGGACTAATGTCAGCTTAGGACATCAGATGCAACTCACCTAGACCAGACTTCTGCAGTGATTTAAAAACTCACCAACAATATTTAGTGAAGCCCTGGCCTCTGACTTGCCCGACTTCTCCAGGGAACATACTGGCTGCATGGTACTCCAGGATATTGATGACCTTCTCGTCGCCAGCCCAACTAAGGAAACCTGCCACTGAGCAACACTCGACCTCCTACATCATTTATCAAAAAGATGATATAGAGCATCCTGGAAAAAGGCTCAATTATGTAGACAAGAGGTCAAATACTAAGAATTAATGATAACTTGAGGAAGACGGGCCCTCAGCACCAAACAAAAGGCTGTGATAACTAACCTCTCATGGCCCACCACCAAACAAGCTTTGTGTGAGTTCCTGGGGGCTGCAGGATTCTGTAGAATCTGGATACCAGGATTCTCAGTCATAGCCAGGCCCCTGTATGATTCACTAATGGCACCGGGTAATCAGCCTCTACAATGGGAAGACAGACAAGAGAAGGCTTTCAAGGAACTCAAGGACTTACTTGGAAGGTCCCCAGCCCTAGGCCTACCTGATATTTGGAAACTCTTCTGCCTATATGTTCATGAAAAAAAAAAAAAAAACGAAATTGCCTTAGGACTTCTAACCCAACCAATAGGCCCTTGGGAAAAGTCCATTGCATGTCTGTCAAAGAAATTAGACCCTTTCGCCTCTGGATGGCCTCATTGCCTACCAGCCTTGGAAGCCACCACACTTCTCATCAAGGAGGCTGACAAGCTCATTCTAGGACAACAGCTCACAGTAAAATTCTCCACTCAGTGATCACTCTTTTGAACAGTCAGTGTCGGAAATGGATATCAAATGCCAGGCTCATTCAATATCAAGGGCTACTTCTAGAAAATCCTCACATAAACCTACAGACTATGCAGGCCCTCAACCCGGCCACATACCTCCCAATCATGGCAGGGGGACCAGAATATAACTCTCTAGAAATCGTAACTGAAGTCTACGCCACCTGGCTGGAACTTCAGGATTCCCCTCTGATGAACGCTGACCTTACCCTATACACTGATGGTAGCAGCTTCCTAAGCAATGGACTAAGAAAAGCGGGTTATGCCATTACCATGGCTACAGAAGTCCTAGAAGCCAAAGCACTCCCTGCGGGATGGTCAGCTCAAAGGGCTGAACTCTGGGTCCTCATCCAGGTGCTCTTACTGTCTAAGGACAGAAATGTCAACATATATACTGACTCAAGATATGCCTTCACTACTCTACATATACATGGGGTAATCTACAAAGAAAGAGGACTCCTCACATCCAATGGAAAAACCATCAAGAACAAAAATGAAATCCTCCAGTTGTTAGAAGCAGTATGGGCACCCTGGAGCTTAGCCGTCATCCACTGTCAGGGACACCAAAAAGGAGATGCTGAGCCAGCTACTGGCGACTGCTTACCTGACCAGGCAGCCAGGGAAGCTGCCCAAGACAGATAACTTGCCATTATAGCACCTGTCACCCCCTCCTTACAAAATCCCACTTATACAACAGCTGGAGATTACTGGGCCAAAACTGAGGGAGACATTCACCATCCCCAAGGGTGGTGGATTCTCCCAGGTGGGCGCTTATTCATTCCAGCAAACCTCGCCCCCTATGCCATCACTGAACAACATTCAACTTCACACTTGGGAAAAACTGGGCCTGAAACTGCTGGGAAAACATTTCTACATTGCCACACTTGCAACCTTATGCAAGTTGGTCACAGATCGGTGTGCCCCTTGTGCTAGACACAACCTAAAAATCAGACCTTCCTGGCCCCTAGAGTACAGCACACAGGGACAGCTCCCTTCAAAGACCTGGAAGTGGACTTAACAGAGATGACTCCTTACTGAGGTATAAAATATCTGCTAATTCTGGTCTGTACCTTCTCAGGATGGGTAGAGGCATAACCAACCTGGACTGAGAAGGCCAGAGAAGTCACCAAAGTCCTCCTCTGGGAGGTTGTGCCTCGATACAGGATCCTGCTTACCAAACACAATGACAATGGCCTGGCTTTTATCTCTGGAGTT